ACATGATTTCAAACTCCTTTACAAACTCTAAATGGTCAGCTGGGTTTCCATCGGTACACCGAGGCTCATATTTAGGCAGGTTAAATTTCCTGTTATCCCTAGACGGCGAAACGTTGACATCAATCTTATCATGCTTAACATTACATACATCATTATATATAACAGAAAACTCAGCATTACTTAATTTCCTGCCTGCTTATAAGACGCTCTGTCCCTTCTTTGACCCAGGGATCAGTGAATTTGGCCACGAAATCCAGATTAGTTCCAGATAACACCAGGAAAGACAAACAGACACTTTCAGTAACTGTCGGCCAACTCTCAGAAGCTTTCAATGTCCAGCTCTTACTGCTCTGGAATTCACGCTGTCCCTCAAAGACTTTCAGAAATACTTTGTAGCAACCAATGCGAAAAAACAGAGCACAGAGTGGCGACTCGATAATCCTTTACGCCTACGCCAATATGTAACCAACATTAGGGCTATTACGCACAAGGTCTAAGAATAAATGTTATAACAACAAATCACGATACTACTTCTGGTATATTCTGAGAGTTGGCTGACAGTTTCTGGTAGTGTTTGGATAGTCCCGTTCGCCATTTCTGGTGCCTGCCCGTCTTCTTTGAACAAGCGTTACCTGGAACTTTTCTGGAACTTTCAGTCAAGTTCAGATTTAGCGTTGGTGATATCGATAAGACAGTCACTCGGAGAGGTGTGCTCTCTGTGTTGTCCTCCGTGTTTGACCCACTTGGATTAGTAGCACCTTATCTACTTCCGGCGAGGAGATTATTTCAAGAGACATGAAAGAAAGGGTTACAGTGTGATGGCCCATTAAGTGAGAGGCACAGTGAAGAGTGGAAAAGGTGGGTAAACGGTTTAAGAACGCTGAATCTACATTCCGTCTCACGTCTACTTAAGTCATCGAGAAATCATGATATAAGTGACTTCCATGTTTTTTCTGATGCCTCTGAGGTTGGATTTGGTGCAGCCATATACATCAGAACCACCTTAAGGAATGATATAGATGTTAGACCGGTGATGGGTAAATCTAGAGTTGCACCTATAAAGACGATTTCGATTCAGAGACTAGAGCTTACTGCAGCCTTGCTAGCGGCGCAGTTATTCACAGAGGTGTGCGAAGAGTTGGATTATCCCAAGTATTCCGTAACGTTTTGGACTGATTCGATGTCTGTGATATATTATATACACAACGAGCCAGCAAGATATGCATGTTTTGTGGCTAATAGAGTATCTCAAATTCGTGAACTAACAACCGTCGAGCAGTGGGGGTATGTACCGTCTGGATAAAAACCAGCTGATCTAGCATCGCAAGGAGTTATTGATATGAATGTGGTTAAAAATAAGTGGTGGAAAGGTCCAGAGTTCTTGCTACGGGCTGACAGTATGTGGTCTAGTAGAGAAGATGAACCACCTATACGCGAGTGTGTTTTGGAGTTTAAGACAAGTGTTAGTTTAACATCTACTCAAGAAAGACATTCGGGTTTACATCCACTTTACAAATATTATTCTTTTTCGTACAAACAACTGAAGCCTGTTGCATGATTGGAACAATATTTTACGTATGTCAATTTAGTGAAAGATTGAACGATCAATTCATTGTTGTCTGCTCAAACTCAACTCCTCTATATTTTTCCGGGTCATCAATCCGGCAGTCATCGTTAGCTGTTCAGAGGAAGAATAAAAACTATCATAAAACTTGTGTGATAACATTATTGTCGTTTATATGTTGGCGTAAAAATAAAGGATTCTTGAGTCGCCAATCAGTGTTTTGGTTTTAGTGTAGGTTAATAGGAAGCGTTTCTGAATGTCTTTGAGGGACAGCGTCAGGCCCAGCGAAGCAATAGCTGGACATTAACTGTTTATCAGACGTGATTGACACTTTCTGACAGTTGGATAGTCTCCGTTCGTCTTTTCTGGTGCCTGCCCGTCTTCTTTGAACAAGCGTTATCTGGTACTTTCAGTCAAATTCAATGATCCCTTGGTCAAAGAAGGGAAAGGGCACCTTGGAAGCAAGCAGGAAAGTAAGTGATGCTGAGTTGCTTCCTTATTCTAATGATATGTATGATGCTCAGCATGATGAGTATGTTCTTCACGTTTCGCTGTCTAGGGATAATTGGCCTAAATTTGAACCTCGATATAGCGATGGAAACCCAGCTGACCATTTAGAGTTTGTAAAGGAGTTTGAAATCATGTTGAGTAGTTTTTTAATAAATGATGAAATGAAGTTGATGTATTTGATGAGGTACTGCACTGTAGTTGCTTCAAGAGCTGTATAGTGCTGTAAGTTGATGCCCCTTAACGAACGATATTCTGAGGCGATGAGTTTACTGCTTCAAGTATTCGGAAGACCTTCGATGATTGTAACAAACGTATTCGGGACTGTTAAGGATAATGGTAGTCAATTACGAGATGACTCCAAGGCACACTCTGAGTTTTTGGATAATCTGTTGACTTAGAAGAACGCATTGATTTCGATGAATTGCATGAGCGATCTGAACTCAAGTTCCGTCCTAGAGGTAATAGCGAGACGCCCACCTACTCTACTGCAAAGGAAGTGGGTGAAGGTGTTAAGCCGAAGTTCGATGATATTCTGAAACCTGTAAAAGATAGTGTCAGTCAATCTATGAGCAAGTTTTTCAGTATGTTACATCCTACCACTAGAATAGAGCAGTGTGAGAGCAAAACGCAATCATACATGATTAAAATGTCTCAGAGAAGTGGACATCGAGAAAGCTTTATGGCATCCAGTAATCCATATAAACTTAGTGAGTGTAACAGATTTCGTGGTACATCCCCAACAGATAAGTTACAAGATGCGAGAAAAACATGGTTGCGTTTTACACGTTTGTAAGTAGTGCATCCAAAGGCGAACTGTGAAGAAGTGAGCGTGTTTAGTGGTAAGCTAAATGGGAAATCAACATCATCGAGGTCTGACTACAGATTGTGTGACGATAATGGTGCAGTAAAGAAGCCTGTAGTTGCAACTGGTAAGCCATTGTTGGATAGAGTGCCACGGACGACACCGCAATTTGTGCAGGAGAAGACAGTTACAGTTTCAGAGTCCAGTTCTGACTTCACAAGTTTACAGGGTGTCACTAGTCGGAGTAAAGGCATAAAACCTTCAAGGATTCATGAAGAAGAATCCAAAACATCTACTGCTGTTATTGAAGAGTTTGCAAATGATGAAGTTGATCATACAAACGGAGGTAAAGTGAATATTTGTGATAATGATCATGATAGTGCAGATTTGTCTTTGGCTGATCGTGATGAGATGAGCGGAATGCGTACTACTACTACTACTACTACTACTGAGTTGAATAAAAGCTCTGTACAACTTGAACGTGTACTAGAAGTAGGAGCAGATCCAGTGGTAGAAGGTATGGATACTTGTGAGACCCTCAGTGTAATTGATCAGCGTGTAGCCCACCTATCATCGGATGCTAGTGCTAAACCGGAGCTAATAATAGAAGACAGCAGTGGTGGTAATCCTACAGCTAAACAACCTTCTGAAGGTCGAACTATAATAGCTTCTGATCCACCGCTAAATTCATCAACTTGTATCGCACAGTCTTCGTTGGTGTAGTCATCCACAATGAAAAACAGGCCCATGAACTCAAGTGTCTTGTGCAAGGACTATGATAGTATAGGTCAATTTGAAAAGATGAAAGATATTGCTCAGTTTAGTGAGGATAAGCCAGGTGTGTACGAGACTGTAATTGTCAATGTAGTTAAAGATTGAACGATCAATTCATGGTCGTTTGCTCAAACCCAATTTCCCTATATTTTCGCGGAGGCATCAATGCACCAGTCACCGTCTCATCGGTCGCTGTTCTGGAAGAAGAGTAACAAACCGTCAGAAGTAATATCGTGATTTATTATTGTAATATTTGTTCATAGACCTTAGTTATTATGCTGGTTATATGTTGGTGTTAGAATAAAGAATTCTCGAGTCGCCAATTGGTGTTTTGGTTTTTGCGTCCGTTAGTACTAAGCGTTTCTGAAAGGCTTCGAGGGACAGCGAGAGGCCTGGAGTAGCAAGAGCCGAGCATTAACGGTTTTAAGACATGATTTACAGTAATTGCTAAATCGAGTTGCATGAATAAAGGTTTTTCAAGTTCCAAGTTACTATTTGAATGCACTCTGTATCGCTGTACGTTCAACGTTTGCGTTACATTTTTACGTGATTCGTTACATAAAATTTATCTTGTTGTAGTACTTGCACAAGTACTATACCACTTCCATACTTGTAACCACTAACTCTCATTTCTAATAGTTATGGTTAATCAAAGTAAAAAGCAACGAACCCAATCCCCTGTAAAACTGGTGTCTAATTTAACGTCCTTGATTGCTACATCAAGCAACACACCCCCAACAAACGGCTATAGTGAGTCACATAACTCACGTGTATGCCGTAAGCGTCGAGCTGAAACTGAGGATAAAACTGTACTGACAGCCAGTATTAGCACTACTCCTAAAAATTCGGTACCCTCTGCTCATACAGAACTCCTCCCTTCACCTTATGTGCTTATGGAGAAACTCCAGCCATCAAGCTCTTTTTCAGTACTATCTTCAGAAATAGAACTTCTAAAGTTGTCTATAGGAGAACTTAAGGCTGAGTTAAGGGAAATAAAAAACAGTAAGTCAGTAAATGCTGGAAACATCGAAACCAATACCGAGATATCCAAATTATCAGATCAGATCAGCGATATCAGATCGCAGGTCTGTGAACTGACACCTCTAACTATCCTCATGAAAACGGTAAACCTTAACAAGCTTGACACAGAATCGGTAACTAAGGTAGATAACCTCATTAACTTTGTTACCACAGAAGTAACAAAACGACTCGACGCAAAACTGAGTGCTATTGTCTACAACGTTCCGGACAATGAGGCACTAAAAAAGGTACAGCGCATCTTACTTAGTGAAGCGAAAATGCCTAACTCCAAGACTAAGTGCTACAGGCTGAAGAAGAGTCAACATGAAAAGTGTTGTCCTATTCGTTTTCAGTTCGAAACACCGGCAGAGACCAGAAAATTCATTCACTCCCAACACACCCTATCGCAAGCCAGAAACTACAAACATATAAAGGTCGGGGTGGACAAAACAGTTATAGAAAGGCGCGCATACAACTATCTCACTAAGACTAATTGTGAAATAGGTAATAGGACATTGCAAGCAGCCATTATTCCCAACCCTGTGAAAGATACAGTAGACCCCACCGCATCACCCCTCTCAAAACACACAGAAATATCCCATCAGAGTGCAACACCAGCCGAAAGGCCACTAGACTGTAACCAAATAAATAATAAAACCATACCACCCATCACCGCAGAATCTAAAATGCCACTAAATAACCCCAGAAAAAAAGTTAAAACCCCCCGAAATTCGACTTTGTCCTCTCCTAGCTATAATTCCATTGGTAAAGATAAGGAAAATATGCCCCTAAATCATACCAACAAAAACAGTGGCAGCTTAAATAAGCCCACACTCCCCACGGTTAATAGTATTAGCACTCACAACGTGCTAAATCGCACCGTGGCACACACTAATATCCAATGTCACAACGATGTCACCCTAAATAGTACAAGTGGTAATAGTCAGAACTCGGCTACCAACAACTCAGGGTCTTCAGAGTATGGCACACAAACAAATTTCGACCGGATATATGGTACAAGTCTGCTGGGAACTAACCCAAAATGCAGTACACACGAAACCCACACAAGGACACAACTAGCATCAAACAATAGGTGGAATAATAAGCCATGGTCATCACAAGGATCCAATCATTTTTTATCCCCCGCGTCCCTGTCAGCGTTGAAAAAACAGCTGGTAGGGATGTTAACACTCCTAAACCACTAGTGCTGGCTCCCTCCTTGCATGAAAACAGGAACGGTCTAGTGCACCCGTATCCATTGGACACACTTGACACTTGCACAAGTATAGGCCAAATAAAGAACCCTACCCACTTCTGTAACCTAACTAAAAATAAAAGTTCCTTAGTCTATAGCAAATCCAGTACTCCAACTCCTAATTCTCCACCGAAAACAGCACACAACAACTCGATAGACATAGGTGAGCATGATGCTGGAACTCCTCTTAACATAGGATCGTCATGTCCAGCAGAACTACTGGGTGCTGAACCATATTCGGGGCTGACTAACGAACTTAAATACTTCAAATGCTACTTCAACTCTCATCTTTACGTAATCCTCATAAATGCTAGATCTGTTCTAAATAAATTGCCGATGCTCAGAGCACTCACAGTAATATACAAACCCCCTGTAATTGTCATCACTGAATCTTGGTGTCATTCGGACATCCTGGATGAAGAAATAAGCTTAGATAACTACACACACTTTCGGTGTGACAGGGAAGGTGGTAAGGGAGGGGGTTGTCTCATGTACTTTCTGAATGAACTTACTGTATCACAGCTAGAAAGTAGTACACTTAACATGCCTGAGACTCTATGGGTTAATGTACACTTAAATAACGTAACAGCATTAATTGGATGCTCCTACAGAGCACCTGGCACCTTTAGTAATTACGAGACCCAACTTATTAATACTCTGGAGCAATTAACCGACTTACAATACGATCATAAGATCCTATGTGGGGACTTTAACTTACCTGAAATCAACTGGGATATACCCACAGGTCCAACTAAATTTGATAAGTTCTTAGACACACTGGATATACTTGGCTGGAAACAAACTGTCACTACTCCCACAAGAGGTAACAACGTACTAGACTTAATCTTCTGCCACAATATAAGCCCCCTTTCAACGCTAGTAGGTTCTGAGTTTCCAGGGAGCGACCACAAAACAGTAATGTGTGCACTGCCAATTCCGCTGAGTAGCAATGCATCTCATACCTCCACTTCACAACAAGTAATATATAGGAACTATAGTAAGGCAAACTGGGCCTTAGTTGAATCGATGCTAAGATCCTCCAAATGGGATGAATACTTCACTACTGATGACCTATCGAGAGCCCTAACCATCTTCTACCATAACTCAAACATATGCTTAGATGCTGTCATTCCACTCCAAACACTAAAGGTTTCCCCACACAGAAAGTCATTCATAAAACCAAAGGATCGTAAGAAACTGAAGAAACTCTCAACAAGTTACTTCAAACACCACGACTTTGGCACTCTAGGTCTAATACTTAACACCCTTAGCTCCATCTCACAAGCTCAAGATTTCCGTATGAGAAAGGAAGAACGCATCGCAGTAGCCAGTCCTGCTAGAGTGTATGCACTCACAGAAATCTTAAGGAAGCGAATGAATCGCAAAAATCACAGCATTTCTCTCCTCATAGACAAAGGTAGGCTATGCACTAACTCTGCAGACATATGTGAACTATTCAACAAAACGTTTGCAGGTAACTACCTTAAGCCCTCAGTCCAGCTACTCGATATACACCCTATTACTAAAATGGCACAAACTCCAACTCCACTGACACCAAACCAAATTAGCACTGTTCAATTCACTTACGCTGACATTAACCAAACTATAAGAACCCTCAAAAGTTCAAAAGGTTTCGGTACCGACGGTATATCATCTTACTTCTATAAATATGGTGGCCCTGACATTCCTCTACTACTGCTTAAAATATTCACAATGTCCCTAGAAACCCAAACTTACCCTGACATATGGAAGACAACATTCATTATGCCTAAACACAAATCTGGCTCGAAAACTGAAGTCAGTAACTACCGGCCAATCAATATCACACCTATAGCATCTAGAATCATGGAGAGACTAGTCAAAGATAACTTAATCAAACATATGCTTAGCTGCAACATCATAAGTCCGAACCAACATGGATTCCTGAAATCCAGATCATGTTTAACATGTCACCTAGACTTCTTCAATTTTGTAACCAGCAGTCGTGACAGACGGCAACTAGTACTTGTCATCTACTTTGACATTTCTAAGGCATTTGACCGTGTTGACCATTTACTGCTTTCTTATCGTCCCTCTCCTTCGTACTTTTATGATATTTATTTAAAATCTGATTATCGTTCCATTTGATTTGACCTAATTTATTTATTTATTAATTGTCTACATATATGCATATACTAACTTTGTTATTCTTATCACCTATATAAGCCTTATTAACAATATTTTGTTATTATTATAATCATCGCTATTAACTTCGTTCAAAACATTTACCACATTATTATTACTATTATTATTATGATTACTTTATTATTGATCCACTAAATCACCGTCATTGGTTAAAATTTTATATATAAGTCTATGTAAATTAGAGTAAAGCCTGAAGAAGATCTAACTGAAAACAATATTGTTCGCTTATATGTCTTGTTTTAACAATAGGTCCCAAATAGTTAAACTCGGGTCTGCAACCTCCAAACCCAGCCCTATCACTTCTGGTGTAGTACAAGGTAGTGTCATTGGACCCCTACTATTTACACTATACATCAATGACATATGCGCTTGCTTCACGCACGGCAAACCATTCATCTTTGCAGATGACCTAAAAGTAGCTTATACATTCCAACGTGATGACTTAGGGAACTTCGAGAATGTAGTACAGAAGGAATTAGATAAAATGGCTGCTTGGTCGTCCCTATGGAATCTCCAATTTAATCTGAACAAATGTGGCTGGATCTGCTTCGGTGCACCCTCAATTGACCTGAAATTAACGCTCCAATCTGCTAACCTAACAAGAATCCCAAGTGTCGTTGACCTAGGCTTGAGGTACTCTAGTGACTTGACATTCTCAGAGCAAGTAGCATCACAGACTAGAAAATCGAGGATGCTCTTAGGATGCATACTCAGGAACTTTCACGACAATGAAGCCAAGCTAATTCTGTACAAAACATGTGTCAGACCACTACTAGAATACTGTCCATTTATTATAAGCAGCACTCGCACACGCGACAAGCTAAGGATGGAAAGTATCCAACGATATTTTACCTCAAAACTGCTTGGCTACGATTGTAAGAAAGACTACATCTCACGGCGCAACATCCTAAAACTCGACCCACTTTTGACAAGGCGACTTATTATAAACCTAATATTCTTCTTTAAGGTCCTTCACAAAATATCTTTCTCAGGTAACAGGGACATACAATTCGCACAGGAAGGTTCTTACGATCTGCGTAACCAAACTTCCACAGTGACAACTCATTCTTTTAGGTCAACACTCCGTGAAAACTTCTTCACAGTCATGTATTCTAAAATATGGAATAGCCTACCCCTAGATGTCAGAACTTGCTCTTCGGTTACAAGCTTCGAACGCTCTCTATACAGACTGTTTCACTCTACTGATTATATTAATAAACTATTTACTCCTAGAACGAATCAAGCACCAATCTACTACAGCACCTAAAAGACGCACTTCAACACCCTTAGCAATCTTTAAACTATAAATAAACTAGCAGCATGGATGCATAAAGACATAGTACGGAACATACAGGATTAGTTTACCCTCAGAAATAGGAAGTGTCACCTAGTGTAACATTCAAACGCCTGCTATATAAACTGTTTTGTCCCAATGATTATCCCTACCAGAACCCATCACTTATTTCTAAAACGCACCAGACATTAGAACGCTAAAACGCTCAGACTCATTAATACACACTATGACACTAAATAAACTCTAAGACTTCGCATAAATACGTGAAAACAAATACAATATAGAGAAATGTTTACTTAAGTATAATTTAAATTAAGATAAACATTTATAAATGCATTATATATAAATGTCCTTTTCATGTTCACATACTTTCTCTTTCTGGTATTTTGCTGCTCCTATTCATCTTCTGGTCGAGGTCGAACAATCCTGCATCTAAACTGAAATGAGGATTAATTCCAAACCGTCTATCTCATAACCACTCAAATTCCATGAACGATCCAATTACACCATTTGAAGACGCTGGCGAACATGCTGTAAATGAGTATTCATGATCTGAAATGAAGAAGCAACTGGTCTTCAAATAGTTTTCAACATTTTACTCAACTTACGAATACAGTCCGCCATGCAGACACAAATGGAGCAAATGGAGAATTCTGGAATCGACCTCGGCACCACTTGATGCAGTAAAACAACCCAACATGACCTTATCTAGTTTTCGTATCCACGATCAAATTTCTTTCCTGTTATAAAACTACGATAAGACTATAGAAAAAATGGAATAAATATATCACTGATCTCAACATAATACATCAATAATCTTTAAGCCAAGGGTGCTGTTCACAACAAAGTTATATAGGAGAATTGACTTCAAGCTTTATTTTTCCCAGATATTTGTATAACATTCATGTGATGTCTGGGTTTTTTGTTAATGCGAAGACAATATTTCTATATCTCTTTATGTGCTACACAAACAAACTTTATAGCAGACTGTTCCGACTGACTTTGATGTCACAAAGAACAACCAAACTGTAAATCCATTATGCATCAAATTTTGTGTAATTTATATAATAACTTATCCATGCCTGTACAATTGGTATGTTCCTGCATAAACAGGAAGAAATATATATTATTATTATCTATGGTGTAAATTACCCTGTTTCTACGCTTGGTTGATCAGATTCTTCGTGTGTTTG